TGACTAAAATACCAAACCAAAATTACTGGTAGTTCACCTTAAGTGAGACGTTTCAGTGAGATACTGTGTAAAATATCAAACAATAGCCTATTATCACAACTGAATACTTGATTTAAATCTTTATGATCTACATAAATCTCCAAATTTAGAAAGCATAGTGAAAACAATACATTTCTCAGTAGTATTCTTAAGAAGAAGAAAAAAGCTTTTAATGAGAAGCCGAGAGGAAAAGTAGCTTTATAGTAACCTCGGGTGTACTACTTCTATTGCTTTACAAGTTTCAGGTCAGTATGTCACTGGTCGGGCGCTGCCCTGGCCTTGTTTGGATAACTGAATGCGTGATGGAAGCTGTTTAACGAACACACACCAGTAGAGGACACATCACCACACCTAGCTCGTGATTTAACATTTTAGATGTTATAACTGTATGAGAAACAAGAGAACGTATCAATAGCACGAATTCCGATTTTTTTTTAATTGCAACTTATTACAGCATCATAAACGCACTCTTTTTTCTTTCTTTCTAATATTGTGTTCAAAATAAGTAACGCACTTAACAAGTTTGTTAACTGTATTGTAACAGTCCGCGTGAAACTTGGGAAGTTGGATGAGAAATGTTGATTAAGTTTTGTGATTATGGTTTCAACATTAAAGACCAGCATTACCAGTAGACTTAGCCTACCTTCAGCATAACATAACACTATCTTCTCAAGAATTTTACAAATATTTAGCTATTTCATTCAGAGCAAGACTGATACAACTAAAAAAAAACTATGATCCTATGAATTTTTGTTTCTCATCTGAAAATTAACTTTTTAGACCTAAATTAATTTTAAAGGGTAGATTCAAGAATATGCATTTAACGTTTTGGATCTAAGTTAACTTGAATAGTAGATTCTATAATATCTGATCTAAGTCTTCCTCTGAGATAGAGACACTAATAAAGTCATGATAAATCTAATGCACTTACAATTTTTAATCATGCATTAGTTCCTCACTTTCAACGTTGGCGTTTTAACATCATGTAAAGTATAACATTAATATTGTCAACTCTGACTGCGTTATCTCTATAGTATATCATTTGTACTGGCAATCTGCGTTCGAAATATTCTTCTAATGGGTAGATTTGCAGCTTGACGCAAGTTTTATTATATTTATCACGTCAGCCCTACTTAAGAAATATCCTTTAGTGAAAAGAATAATTTTGTATTTAATTTTCTATAACTAATGAATGATTTTTGGGTGAAAATGTATAAGCATCATGTTAATAAAAATAAATACGTTTATATATATACGCGTATAATATTTGATTGATATTAAAGTCCACTCCAGTAATTTAGAGTCGTAATTTTTTTATAAACTACACTTTTTTTTTCAGTGCCCCCAGTGGCTCAGCGATAAGTCTGAAGGCTTATGACGCTAAAAACTGGGTTTATACCAAGGTTTTGCTCCCCATTGGCACAGCGGTATGTCTGCAGACTTACAACACTAGAAACCAGGTTTTGATATCCGTGGTGGGCAGAGCACAAATAGCCCATAGCGTAGCTTAGTGCTTAACCAGGTTTTGATATCCGTGGTGGGCAGAGCACAGATAGCCCATAGTGTAACTCGGTGCTTAACTATAAACAACATCTTTTCTTTTTAGTTTTATATTAATTTTCATTTACAATACACGAATTTATTTTACTGTAAGAATTTTTATATATATTTTCTACTCCATTGCTATAATAATATTTGCGATACATGTTAAAGCAATATGAATTATTAGAGAAGCCTCTATCGGACTAAATTAGAGTACATTATTAGTAACATAAATGCACTGTAAGGAGTGCCGCGTCCACTTTTACTTTATCAAATTCTCTCAGTCTCTGGTTATTTAGTCAATAACTTCACTTTATCAAGTACCAATAATGGTACAAAGAGGAATTTGTGATAGAGTGACTACTTAACTAATGATCCCTGCGCGACGTTATCAGAAGTAAACCACTTTGCAGTGTCTTTGTTATTAAAAGAATTGTATTCGTGTTACTTGTAACGTGTTAATCCAGCGTTCAAGCAGATGTTGCGAAACGGATTTATTACATTGAACGATAGAATGAGATTAACATAAAGACTGAAGTGACGAAATAATTTATCAGTATTAGTTAAGTAACTAACTTAGCTGTGTCATCGTACTTGATAATAGACTAATACAGTTAATGGGTATCAAATTTGCATAATACAGAAAATGATTTCTTTGTGTAGATTTTTCTATTGTGACGTTTTGTTGCGTGTACATATATGTATGTATCTATATGAGTATGTGTATGAAATATCTTAATGGTTGAGAATTTTAACTACCCTGCATCAAGACTTGTTATGAGCTTTATTGGAAGAAAGTATGAAACGTCACAGATTGTTTAAAGGGAAAATTCTATCGTTATTAAATAACACATGTTGAATTTCCTAAGTTAACTTCTTTATTTTACTATATATGCGTGTGTGTGTGTGTGTTCAGACTTCACGAGATACATTCAAATCGGGAAAAAATCAATAGTTTCATAATTTACACACAACTCCAAAACTTCTAATGATACTTGTAACGCACGTTCTTCGTCAGTCTCTGATTTTACAAAGTTCTGGATTTTTAATTCTGTTTTGTGCCGCGTCATCTACCAACGTTTTTCTTTATTAACAAAGTTGTAACTTGTAATAAAATAATATTTATAATCAGTAAGTAAAGTCAAAACGAAACTATTAATTGCATGGTTGATATAGCCTGTTACCTGGAAGTGTGAGCATTCGACCACAAACTGAAGTACTTGTATGTGTATTAATGAACTAAGATACATTTGTTACCTGTACGTTACAATGTGTGACACAGGATTATATCTTTGACTTAGGCCTAACGTGATTCACTACGTTCTGTACGACACTGCTACGGATTGTTTGTTTGTAATTAAGCACAAAGCTACACAAAGGAATATCTGTGCTCTGCCCACGACGGGTATAGAAACCCGGTTTCTAACGTTGTAAGTTCGCAGACATACTACTGTGCTACTGAAGGGGGGGGGGCACTGCTACGGCTGCACATGTTCTTTATAGTAAATGAAATTATTTGAAATGGATAAGGAAAACTCTTGTGTCGCCAGATGGCAGCAGTAAGGTTAAAATAAAATTATCTTGTTCACGGCTTTTTGTTTGTTCGTAATTAAGCACAAAGCTAGACAATGGGCTATCTGTGCTCTGCCCACCACCGGTATCGAAACCCGGATTCTAGCGTTGTAAGTCCGCAGACATACCGCTGTGCCACTGGGGAGGGGGGCGTTCAGTGCTTTTCTCAAAAACTCCCCATCAATATTTCTAAACGCAAATCATTCTCACGCGTGGGGTTGAAGGCGAACAACCGACACCGAACACCTCAGTTGTGAAGAACAGGCAAATATCACGATGCTTTCTTTTCTTTTAAACTAAATTCCTGCCACGTTTAGGTTTTTTTTTCACTGCAAGTAATAATTTAGTCAATAAAGACTTTTTATTTTGTATGTTGCTTTCATCATTTATCTTAATTATTTTTCTTTCTTTTTCAAATTGATTTTTGCAAACTCTAAACTGATCTACATCATTTGTCTCGTTATTTGTGAACGTCATGCATCAGCAATGAAACATTGCTGTTTTGTCGTCAATATTATAGTCTACGAAACATCTCAGTATATCTGTGTGTTTATGTGTATGTTTGTGTTACTCGAACAATCATAGAGAGTAGAATTTTATAAATCGCAACAAACGATAAATAACGACACGAAGATCAAAAGGGGCTATACATGTAAAAACGATGAAGACTGTACATCCCTAGTGTCCTCTTTAGATATAAACTTCTACACGAGGACGGACTGAGACATCATCCAGTTCTTTTTTGTTGATATTAATACGTGACCGTGGTGCTCTTACAATATTAAAACAAACATTCCGAACAGTGCTAATCGTTAAAGTCTGTAATCTTTTTGTCTCATCTAACTGAAAACACGTAATTTCCGGTCTTTCTATAAACAAAACCCCTTTCCGGTTATTTCTAACCTTGTAAATGCAAGATTTTTCAAATCAGTTTGTTCTAATATATAATGTATTATTCAATCACTAATTATTAGTTTGTTTGTTTTTTAAGCCCTACATATATTACAACACTAACACAGCAAAGGGCAGAATTTTCTTGTAGGCTCTATTATAACTGCTTGTCTTTTTCCTATAATCACACTCATATACTATTGTTGTAATTACAGATGTTTAGGTTTTGTTAGCACGTTAATCATGTGCATCATGCTACAATCGCATACGTAAATTATTGTTGTAATGACAGACAATGTTGAGGTTTTGTTAGCACGTTAATCATGTGCATCATGCTACAATCGCATACGTAAATTATTGTTGTAATGACAGACAATGTTAGGTTTTGTTAGCACGTTAATCATGTGCATCATGCTACAATCGCATACGTAAATTATTGTTGTAATGACAGACAATGTTTAGTTTTTGTTAGCACGTCAATCATGTGCATCATGCTACAATCGCACACATAAACTCTATATGAACTTTGAAGCATCTTCATCGCGCACAGTTTCTTACTGTGTAACAGTTTAGTTTGAAGACGGCTTCAAGAAAGCAAAGATTTGAAAGCTTACTCAATAAATATTGAACATGAAAATAAAAATACGAATGAGTTTTTTTCTTCTATTATTCTAAAACATACTAAAATTTTTCTTTGTCTATTGATAATTTATTTCATTTGTTTATATAAAACTTGCAGACTTTTCGGTGGGTCCTGGGGTAATTACCCCCCACTTACCCTACCTATTCCGAAGCCCATGTGTTGCGAAATAGATTAAGTAACCAGCTGAATATTCCTTCCCATTCCGAAACCTTGAAAGGAATATCGCCCTTTTCTCAGAACTAAAAAGAAAACCACCGGAAGTCTGCGCCATTTTGTGATGTCACATATAACTAGACGGTCTCGGTTTGGAAAAGAAAGTTGGTATTTTTTGTAGTGAAAAATCTACTTCCAGAAATCTACAACGCAACATTTCGTTCTATGAGGTTAGAGAAATGCATTGGGTTCTTCCGCTTTTACATGGGAAATGCATTGGGTTCTTCCGCTTTTACATGGAAAATGAGTAAGCTCACGCGTGCCGAATGTCTAGTTTAATCGGCTTCCAAAGTGCAGCAGATTAGACACGTAAACAGTGTTCTTCTTCCGTGTCAACTACAATACTACAAGTGTGAGTTGTAATCAACAGTTTAACCGACAGTCTGCTTTATAATTGTATCAGGCAGGTAATTATTATAGAATTGTACGTGTGTGTGTATTTGTATGAGTTAGATGGTTTATGTACACTTAGTGTATTTATTAATGCGTTTATATGTGTTTATTACGATGCTTTCCGCTTCGAGAGAGTTGCGTAACATGTTTCTAAAGGTGCTTTTCTACGCCACATAAATATAAATCCTTAGCAGTTCAAGATAGATCAGTTGACTGATGGATTGAACTTCCTACAGAAACCAAAACTGTAATAAACATTTTATATAAATTAAATCCATTTAGAGATAGAGATGTAATATAAAGCTTAATCGTAATAATTCATTCTTCAGACAAAATTAAACACGATAAGTTTTAAAAACTTACCCACGATTACACAGATAATAGGTAAAAGATAAACATAACAGTGTTTCTAACTGTGTTGAGACCGTTCCCATGACAACCACTTAGCAATCTAACAACTTCAACAAAGGCTGAACGCCATCACATCGCGGTTTATTGCAAAATTATTCAACTTAGAAAGATTAGGGAAAAAATAGCATAGCAATAATGCTGAAGTTTTATAGAAAAGGCAGGGTGAAAAGCTGAGTCATTATAATATATGCAACATATACATCAAATACAAACTTAGAATTGCTTCAAAGATGTTTGTTTGTTTGTTTGTAAAAGGCAGGGTAGAAAGCTGGCATTATAATACATGCGATATATACATCAATACAAACTTCAAATTGCGTCAAGGATGTTTGGTTGAAAAGGCAGGGTGAAAAGCTGAGTCATTATAATACATGCGATATATATATATATACATCAAATACAAACTTAGAACTGCTTCAAAGATGTTTGTTTGTTTGTTTGAAAAGGCAGGGTGAAAAGCTGAGTCATTATAATATATGCAATATATACATCAAATACAAACTTAGAATTGCTTCAAGGATGTTTGTTTGTTTGTAATTAAGCACAAAGCAACACAATGGGCTATCTGTGCACTGCCCACCACGGGTATCGAAACCTGGATTCTAGCGTTGTAAGTCCACAGACTTGCCGCTGTGCCACTGGGGGGCATGCTTCAAGGAACTAACAACTTCTCACCATTATAAAATACGTAAAGTTTGAGAAGTACCGGCAAAACTAACATGACCATTTAGATTAACAACAATATAAATACACTAGCGTCAGTAATCACTTCAGAATTTGTGTGTTATGTGTACAGATATCATGTTGATTGTGATTTTCATATCATCAGGTATTTTTATAACAACAGCTTAATAACAAATAGCCCATATTACAGAACCACAGAAATGATATATCATTATATTCAAGCTTCCAGTTCGACTTGGAGAGTACGACGTCGAAGTGTCTTAAATTCAGTTTTCTTGTATAGAACTTACTTGTTTAACATACACTGGTATTACTTCCGAATTTTTAAAGCGAGGTTGAAGGTCCCGGATGAAACAAGTGACCTGACAAGACTCCATAAGCAGGCGTGAAAAAAAAAGAGCGAGAGTTAGCCTTATCGATTTCGCAATTAGATTTAGGTGAAGTTTCTCACACGACTCCTTTCAAAACAACAAACAAACAAAAAACAACATAAACACCTCTACGTCACTTTGCAAGATATGCTCTCCCAAGAGTTCAAGAGAGTCTATTGGTCAATAATCGTAATTTTTGCCGAGAGTTATGTCTCTTTACTGATATTTATATTTTGTTTGATATATAGCTTTAATTAAGAACATCGTGTTACATTCGTGCACGTGAGTAATGTAGCAACAAACAACATCATTGTATAATATTACCATTTCCCCCCAGAGGTACAGCGGAAAGTGCTGGGCTTGTAACACTAGAAACCGGGATTCGATACTCGTGGTGGGCACAGCACTGATAGCAACCCATAGTGTAGCTTTGCGCTTAACTAGAAACAAAATATTATCATTTGTTGCATAGTTTATAGATATACGCGCGTGCGCGCGTGTGTGGGTATGCAAACTAATATAGTTCATGTACCATGAACATCCATAACGATAACAGCAAAATCAGACGCTTACACGTTTTATTTTGAAGGTAGTTATTATGTATTTTATTTTACGTGATGTTTGTGTGAACCCTACAGAAATTGTAGACAAGTGATTTTAAACTCTCTTTTTTTTTTCTTAGGCATAGAATAAAAGATCTCGAACGATGAAAATTAACAAATATCAGAAAGACGAATTATGCCAAGGCGATACTTAAATTTTCTTGTCGACAATATATGATACACACTTCATACTCCGTACAGGAAGATACACCGGTATTTTATTTTGTGGACTTCAGTATCAACACCCTGCAGCAGACGGCTTCCTCAGCCAATGGGACGCACGAATGTTTCTGTGACGTCGGCAGACAGTGCAGACAGGTAGTAGTCGTGTTAGTTCACGGTATTAGGTAGGACGTGTGGACTACTGATATGGTGTTTGCGCTTAAATGGTGAATTATTCTAGTATTTTAAGAAATTTTATGTTAAACTTATTGTTACGAAAAGAACACGCCAAGTTTTTACATTATGATGTTGTGGTGTCGGTAAAGTAAACTTGATCTTTGTTCTTGTAAAGTTCTTCAGAAAAATACCTGCCAGGTGGTTCTGCCTCCGCGCGCTCGTCTGTAGAAAGAGTCCCCAAAGCGTGGTAAGTTGAGGTGTAGCAACATAGGGGGGATTTCTGAACCCTGCGGCAACGTTTAAAGGAAGCCAAGCAAGGAAAGACGTTGGGTACCCTTTCTTGAAGCCATTGAACTGACCTTATTCAGGCACAGTTTGTGTACAAGAGAACTAAGTAGTAAGTGTAGAAGTTTGATCATAAGTTCACTAGTCTCTTTGGTGATGATTATGAGTTAGAAAAGTGTAGGAAAGGGACACAAGGTAATGGCTCTTCCAAACAAACCGTTTTCTCCTTCAAATGTGAAACGGAAATTAAAGTTCTGGAACAAAAAATCTGTGCTAATCACTGAATATGATCCCACATATAAAGTAATTTACTTAGGAAACGTCCTCACACAATGGGCTAAAGGAGAGAGTTGTGTAGATAAACCGCTGGCGACTTTGTGGAAAAATTATTGTTCCAATGTTAAACATGAAATCACTATGAAAGTTACAGTGTGTAATTCAGGTATCAAAGCAGTGACAAAGGAGCACGGGCTTACAGAGTATTGGGCCAACAGAATAACGTTCTGTACCCATCATCCTCAGTATCCACGGATATTTTGCTGGGTGTATCGGCACGAGGGCCGACGGATGAAGCAGGAACTACGTTGTCACGCTGTTCTGTGTGGTAAAGAGGAGAAAGCTCAAACAATGGCTGTTCAGCTAAACCAGAAACTTTCGGCAGCACTCCAAGAATTTCGACGAGAAAAAATCAGTCGACAGAAGGCGAGACTCTCATTGGCTAACTCGATCGTCGAACATCCAAGTCTTCCAAGGCGGAAACAACTGCTAATTACAGGAACTGTGAATTTTAGACCTCCAATGGAACGTTCCAGGAGTGCTCCCAAATTAACGTCCATCGACGAAATTGAGGAAGAGCTAGACGAAGATGACGACGACTTTGAAGATATAGAGGAATATCTGAATGGCTCGATGGTATCTGAACAAGAATCAACATCTGACATTGTACCAGATGATATAGATTCACTTTCTGATCAGTACGTTGTTCTAGGTAGAGAGAGTGATTCTCTGGATTCAGACTCTGTAGAAGAACTACCCAATCCTCGCCTTCTTAAACCGCTCAACTCCATAGATGAAGAAACTGACAATATATCTGATGAGTCAGGTTATTCAGAAGAGAAAGAATATATTTCAAGAATGTAGCCCAGATGTTCTGCTTCCAGAACTTGGACAACGTTTCTGGAAAAAAAAAACTAACAAAAAAACCAAAATTTAAAATAATGTTTAATTAAATGAATATGTAAATATATGTAAAATTAAAGCTAGTGACGTCATCACAGAACTGGATAAATAATTGTGTTATTTGTCTCGGCTTTCGTTCTTGCGAACATTTGCAGGTATGTATGAGTTTTAAATAGTTATTTTTAAGGCAGTTCTTGGCGTATTTTATTCATTGCGCTGTCATATGTTGCAGGAGTTATTTCAGATTTAAATCAGGTATTACACAATACTTAAATTTGTTTATGTTGCGCAAGACTAAGGCGCCAAAGTAAGATGGAAGCGACACCTAGAAAGTGTCGTACTAGTAAACCCAACACATATAGTTTTAGTATTTGTAAAGTGCACCTTTTAATTTTTACCGAGCAATAAAATAATTTGTTTTTAGTTTGTAATGTTCTATAATAAATTAACTTCGCAGATATTATTCCCCATCTCAAACTTTCCCCAATCCCCATTAATTATATATATATAGAACGTAGCAAACAAATTTCTGATCTACTTATTTGTTCCTTTGATTTTTCAACTCCAGTACTTTAACTTGTTAAATATAAAGCTCAAGACGTGGAAGATTAAGCATATAGAATATTGAAAACAGAATTATCTACCCAGAAAACAAACATTTAATTTTTACTTGAATTATATTATTTTTCCATTATCGCTCATGTAACAAAACTTACATTTAACAAGATGTTCCAAAACTGTCATAAAGTCAAAATTACCAGTCTTTACCGTTAGGCTTAATGATAATTATCACAGTTACTTTGGAGCTTCTTATCACACCTTGAAATGTTATTAAATCTTACGAACGCATAAGGTAAGACTACTATTACTAAAACTATAAAAAAGGCCATTGCTTTTGAAAACTAAATTTCACACAGGAAAATCTTGTAAGTCCAAGAGATTTTTATAGAAATAATATTTCTGCACATAGTTTACTTAATTTATTTAGTCACCAACTGAAAATATTATGGTTGTGTTTTTAAATTTTCATAACGTCTAGGACTTTTTTGTTCGGATGAGTGAAGTAATTCGGGTTATAGTAGGATTCCTATGTCAATGTTTAACGATTATGCGATGCTTGATACCCCACTACTAAAGGTATTATTACTTGTTAGACAATGATCGCTTGATACCCCCACTACTAAAGATCCTATTACTTGTTAGACAATGATCGCTTGATACCCCCATACTAAAGGTCCTATTACTTGTTAGACAATGATCGCTTGATACCCCCACTACTAAAGGTCCTATTACTTGTTAGACAATGATCGCTTGATACCCCCACTACTAAAGGTCCTATTACTTGTTAGACAATGATCGCTTGATACCCCCACTACTAAAG